CCGGGATCCTGCCGGGCTGGTGCCGCGGGTGCAGCGCCCCGGGCCCTGTCCCGGGGCCCCGCGCTTCGTCCCAAAGCTCCCGCCAATCTCGTGTGTTGTGTGCTTAGTCATCTGCAGCTTGGCTTTATGAATAACGGATTGGTTTATAAAAGGTGTTCTAGTAAACATCGGCTGTGATCTCTGTCTCTGCCATGGCTCCGTCCCCTTGTGGAGAAAGGGCAGTTTACGGCATCTCTTAGTGAAGCATGTTGATGGGTGGTTGCATAGAGGACAAGCAAATTTTTTCTCCTTTTCTTCTGAGCCATTTTCAGAACGCTCTGTATGTGCAGGACGACTTCAAATGTGGCTAGTCTGGGAAAATAGTGCTTTGCGCTATGCTTTAAGAAACTATTAAGATAAAATTTCAGGCTACAGAATAGCCTAAAAAATAAAGGGCTCAGGAAAAGCCAAAGGGCACACTGAAGGGCTATGAGAAGCCCCAACTGTGCTGCAGGAAACAGCAATGGAAATATCTTTCCCTCCTTTAGTGGTAAAGATTTCCATGTGTGCTGATGCTATGGGAGCAGCGCTACTACAGACCATCAGTGAGGGGAAGAGGAACCAGTAACATCATGGATGCATCCCCTTTGGGGCCAGAGCAAAAAATATCCTGCTGCGAAAGGTAGTTTAGGGCTGTTCTGAGCTTTAGCTGCCTTTGAAGTTTTCCTCTTTGATAGTGCAGTTGCAGTCTGATCTTCTCACACCCCTCTAATGTAGGTAATTCCAAGGAAATAATAGGTAGCAGAGTCCCATCTACCTTAAGTGGCACAGTGGTCACTGAGATTAACGAGCAGGAGGTTACTGCACAGGTGTCACAAGAAGTGGCTCTTCTTGCACATGCCTAAATGGCACATTTTTGTGCCAAAAATGTGGACACAAAGTTCCTGCAAGAACTTACAGCAACTACTTAGTCTAACTTCCCTGTCACAGCAAGCCCAAATGTCATCATTGGCTGCAAATGGGGGTGGGGGACCATGTTTGTGGTGTGCATGTTCTTGTTTACCTTGGTGTGTGTGTTAGATTGGCTTTTATAATTGTAACTAACTTCAGGTTTCTTATACTTTTCTGCAGAGTTTTGGTTTTTTGCTTTGCTTTATGCTTCTGTAGGGCAATGGATTTTACTATGCCTCTACGTGTAAGTGCTAGCTGACAAGGTTATAACATCACAACGGAGACTCTGAGCCAAGACTGATAATTCGAGATATGCAGCCTGCCAGAAGGACATCACTTGGGAGGGGCTGCTGTCCTTAAGCTGTAGGTGCTGGTGCGTATGGCTTACTCTGTGGGGCTCAGAGAGTTTTCTGTGGTTGCAGAAATTTTAGCTTGGCTTTACGCTCTTTGGTAATAGTATTTTTGTGTTTATAAATTGTGTTAATCCTAGGCATTCAGGACATCAGGGAATGACTGTACGCTGCCATGAAGAACTACAGGCTACCACCCTCAGACCTTTGCAAGTTATCATGGGGCAAGAACATGAACACCTCAGGAAAGGTTTTCTGCCTGGTGCCAATTAGGAGCCATGAGCCACAGGAGGGTTGGCGGCATCCTTACCGGATGCGTGAGTAATAACCCGTGATTCGTTGACCAGCAAAGGAGAGGAGGAGCAGTGACCACTAGCCCAGTCAGTACTGCCTTGCCATTGCTAGCAGGGCTCCAAGGTCTGTGTGAGGCCTCACTTGCCTGTTTGGAGCTTTATTTTGATCTGTTTGCCTGCAATAACCTGTAATGCCTACGATAAGGATGTTCATGGCTAGATGGCTAACCTGTCACGTAACATGTCTTTGCCTTGCTTCGCTTGATCTAACTGCTTAATGTAATAACACCAGAATAAAAACTGTTACAGTGTATAAAGGAACCCTAGGATGAGCATCCATCCAAGTTGGGGAACCACAGTTAAAGCTTTGGAAAAATGCTCTAAAATGAGAATCACTCAATGGTCTTGGTAGGTTGATTCATTTGTAGGATAGTCCTCCGAGGGCCAGCAACTTGAGGAGCTGCAACTTGAAGAGAAGCAGCTGAACTGATTTTATTGTTTCTGTGATGCTGTTTTGAGGAAGCGTGTAGATACAGGATAGGCCTGGGAGGGATGACAAACAAGAAAGGAAACAGCAAGGAGGGTTTGAGAGTGTGGTTAAAAACTGAAGTGCCATGAGAACTGAAGTTGTTAAGTGCTGAGAGAACTTGAGGTTAAGCATGTGCATATGAAGGTCTGAGAGGGGCTAATGCTCAAGGGATAGTAAAATATCATGATTGAACCCAAGATTCCTCCCCAGTCTGGGCTGACGCGTGTACCCTTGCTCTTGCAGACACAGACAGTCTGGAACTGTAGGGGTACAGGCAAGCAGGCTGACAAGCGGGCTTTAGGCACGCTGATGTGGGGAGAGTCCTGTGTGCTTGGCAGATGAGTGTGGCAAGAGCTGTTCTGGTTCTGGTCTGGGGCAAACACGTACAGAGGGGAAAAGGAGGAGGGTCTGAAAGAATACAGGGAGCAAGCTCTTTGTCCCCCACAAGGTCCCTGAGGCCGCCTCCTCCCTGGAGGGTCCTCCACAGGGACACCCACACGCAGTACCCAAGGCACTGATGCCCCACTGGAATAGGAGCCCTAGTCTGACCTTTGCCTGTAACCGCCTCCCTGCCCCTTGCACTGAGGGTCCTGTGCACACTCCTGAAACCAGCCTCCAACAGCCCCCATAACCCTTCAGCAACACTACCAAGAATCCTAAAGCCCCCAGACCTCAAAACCACCCCCAAACCCTGCCCAACAGCACCAGCAACCCTCTCCATCCCTGTCCCCAGGCCCCCTGTGACCCCACAAATCTATCTGCTTCTGTGGGTCAGCCCTAGCTTCCCAGTGCCTGCAATATTCTTTGGAATTCTTTTGCTGTTTTGCCTCCAAGTGGAAAGGTGGAAACAGCTGGACTTTACAAAATTATTCTTGTGGTTTTTGAATGAATACTGATTTAGCATCCTTGCCAAGGGGGAAGAGAGGGGAATCCCCTGGTAGTGTTTCAGCCTATTGGATGTGTTGCTGTGCATCATTCAGGTTTGTGAACTGAATGTGAGGTAGTTACGCATTCTGTCCGTCTCAGAGGCTGCTATTTCCAGTTGTCATTTGTGCTCTTTGAAAAAAACTTTTCACCTTTTTATGCGGACATTTGTCTTAACTGTCTTACTGTGATAACTGTGAGTATAAAACAAAAAATGTGATGTCACTGTGCATAACCTCCATTGTGTGGTGCTTGTTTGTATAGCTATGCTCTCCCATAAGCTCTTGCATTTTTTTTTTAAAGCAAAGTGAAGGAAACACCTTTATTGAGCAATCAATAGCCCAGTGTTCCAGTCCTACCAAGACAGGAATAGGAGGACTAGCTCCTGAGATTCCCTAGAGAATGGAGAAAGAGAAAGAGAATGCTGATGGGAGGATTAGCGCAACCCCAGGGGAGGGTACCAAAGCATCGGGGCGGCCCAAACGGATGGGTTGGGAGGTGCGGGGAGCTGCCGTCGCTGGAGCCCGCTTTGGGCAACCGGGGCCCGCGTCCCGGCCGCGCCCCCCGGGGGGGGGGGGGGGGCGGTCTCTAGCCAAAGCCAGCGATTGCGCATGCGCACTGGGAACGACCTGCTAGCTGCTGCCCTCGGGTGGTGACAACCCAGGACGACAGCCAATGGCCCCACGCATGCGCACTGAGGCCGATCGCTCATTGCTGCCCTCGGGTGGTGAGGCACCAGTACTGCAGGCGCTCAGCCCAGGAGGGCGCAGCAGCACCGCTCTGCTCCCTGCTGCCCTCAGGTGACGACAACGCAGTACTGCAGCCCGACGATTAACGCAGGCACAGTGCTACACCGGTGCTCAGTGCTGCCCTCGAGTGGTGACAGCTCAGTACTGCAGCCAGCCGAGGAACGACTGCGAACTGCTGCGGATCTGTGCAGAGCTGCCTGCCTTCGGGCGATGAAAGTCCACCGCTGCAGTAGGACGGCTCACCCCTGCGCAGCGCTGCCGCTCTGCTCCCTGCTGCCATACCCTCATTACAGAGCAGTACTGCAGCCAGGCGGCAACTGTATGACCACCAGCTCCGACTTGCCCCCTGTAGCCTTCGGAAGATGACAACTCAATATTGCATCCACCGAGGGGGCACTGGGCTACCAAGAGCTCCCTGCTGCCCCCGGGTGTGCAGAACATGATAATACAACTAGCCGGGGTGGGGGGGCGAGCGCATGCACCGTGATTCCGCCCTGCTCCCTGCTGCCCTCG